TTATTGACGTTATTGACGTTATTGACGTTATTGACTCCTTTCTATATTTTTTAGTGTTTTAAATATGCTGTAAGAAATATTAGTCTTTATTTTTAACAAGAAAGAAAAACTGATAACCAAAAGTATCCAAAGATATGAATAATCATTAATCAATCCGGGGAGGGGGGGTGTCAATTAATAACTTAGCTTCTTCTAATGACGAACTTAACCTAAAACCTGTGCTTGTGGCATAGCCGATATTAATTTCATAATCGACGTATTGTCAAAGTGTCGAGCTCACCAATAAAAACGAATGCGTTGACACATCAGACCAAATGATTTACACTATCATGCAAGATAGACAATATAACATTCCTTCAGGACGGACTAACCAAATACAGACGCGTCAAAGACCGCTGAAAGAACAGGAGCTAGAGTATTTGGGGAAAGACCAAAAGTAAAATTACTACACTATAAGCCTCACAGGTCGCAGTGTTTCCGGTAGAGGACGGCCCTTTGTTATTGAAAAAAAAACGCGTCAACACCCAACTTTGATCAGCGTATACAAAATAGACTCCAGATTAGCCCTAGCAGTATATTGAAAACTAAAAGAATTTCGACCTACAAAAACTCATTGGAAAAAGCGCATATTTAAAGCACCGGATTCATATCTAGCAATATACTAGACTGCACCCTTCTTCACGGGTGAATGCTCGGCTCTAGTATATTTAATCTCACTAGAAGGTTTTAGAATTTAGATCGATTCACACTTAATAATGGTCAGTGATACTTCTGACCGAAACGTTGTGTAGGCAAAATACAAATAAAGGCAATGGAAGTTCGAAATTTTTTAGTTTCAGCAATAAAAGACACGAAAATATGAAAAATTATTAAAAAAAATTTTTTCATAAAATATTTTTTTTTCCATAGCAACTGTTAAAATTGCCTTTATATCTATCAAAACAGTAGAGAAAAATAGTACTTTTAACCACAAGGGTAGATGAAATGATAATTTAACAGCGAGGATAAGTAAAAAACTTTATTTCTTCTCGGACTTTAATTGCTTCCTCCATTTTTGAAAATTTTTGTATTCCTTTTCATAAGTTATTCGGGATTTAAATGGAAGTAGTTTGGATATGGCTTTTGTCACCTCAGCCTCAATATCAGTTTTGCTTCAAGAATAAAATACAATTTTATCGTCTTGTATAAAAATAACTATTAATAGCTAGTAAGAAATAAATTACGCTGCTTTCCTAATATAATCTACTAAAACTATTTCCCCGTTTAATGTATTTTACAGCTTATAACTATTGCGACAGCTTCTTTTTCCTTTGTCCACAACGTAATCGCGATTTCTGTTCGTTTTCAATTAACCGCTGACTTGCACCTGGCCGAAATATAAATCAAACACTATTAATTTGTACGATTACGTTAACAGGAATATTTTTTAACTGAGCCCTGCCAATACAATCGATAAATTTCGAATTTATGCGTTACGTCCCATGTAGAATGGGTTCATTAAGGAAATATCCTGGCGGTAATATCAGCATTAACTGATTGATTTATAAATATATTATGCACGTGCACTCATTAATAGGAACATTTTATAATCCGTAATAAGATGGTTTTTCTTCTACGCGTTCTCGATTGCTTCGGCTGTAATTTTTATTGCCCCGACCGTATTTACGATGTTAAAGATAATTATATTAGATATTTCTTTTTGGGTTCTTGCTAATAAAGGCTGTTGCTCTCTGTTATTTTCAATGCGCAACCCTAAATTATGTTTTCTTCGTCGGATTAATGATGTTACTCCACGAGAAAATTTCATTTAACGGTTGTACAACTCTCTTTGGCTTAATTGAAGGAGTAAATCTTGATTATGCTTTCCTAATTGAGACGATCTGTATCATTGAATATAAATACTGACTAAGGAAGGATTATAGGAACAAAACTACCGAGAATAGGAAAATAGGGTAGACTCAGTAACTTGCTAATTTTGTCTTACTTCTTATTGGTTAAAAAATATATTTCTAATAAAAATTAAAAAAAAGTTGTAATTATTTAATAAAAAATGCAGATGGCCTCTACAGGGATAACAAAGTCTTTTTGCCATATTCAAATATATTTGGAGATATTCAGTATAGGTTTTGAAGAAGACACTTTAACAGACCTAAAAAATAATGTTATGAATTATATAATGTCACTGTCTATTGGGCAGTTACTCTAGCAGATATGGTTTTAAGTCCAAAAGTTGATCTCTACCATGATCAATTAAAGCAGCAATGACTTTACTAGAGTAAATATTACTTTTCCAACGACAGTGATATTACAAAAACCATAAACACTATTTTAGAAGTGTGTCGATGAGGACCAAAATCAATGCTAAAATTGCTATAAATCGTTACTGCCTATTCAAAAGCGAATATCTCCAATTAAAACAAAGCTATTGGAGAAACAAAAACAAACTATCGAGAAATGATGTACCTAGGTGATAAAATAGTTTAAACTTGTTAACATATTCCACAGGTTTCAAAATTTAACTAATATATCAATATTTTGTTTTCTCTCGTTTAATTTATGGAAACTTTCATTTTAATTACAGTTGAGGTTGGAACCTTTCGGTAGTTATTAATAGCAAAATGCACGAAATCACCATTAATATATTAAACACTTTTGGCTTTACACTGATGGACGCGTTTCGCTAACCATGTTAGCATCATCAGCAGATGATTAAAACCTCAGTTTTAAAGTAGTCAGTGTAAAAGTAAAAGTGTTTTGGTGTATTGTGATGATTTAGTGTCTTATTTTGCTTTAATTTTAAGTTTAGAAAGATATTCTAAAAAGTCAAATAAGTTAGATACAAATTGCGTAAAAAATCATCAAAATTGGCCCACTAGAACAAAATATATTTAACTTAAAAATGCATTAAAATTTTAAGATGCTGGTTTTTCGTGCCGGCGAGTGTATTATTGACATAATATGGCTAGATAATATCCAGTAAGAATTCTCTTTTATAAATGACGTCACCTATTTCCGCGGTCCATTTGTCAGTCTTGGAACCTGACAGAGAAAAAACTCTGTCTCCGTATTGTCCACCCTCGACTACTTAAGATGACCTGATAGCGACCTTTAATATATCATTTTCTACGGTAGAATTAGATTGATTGTTTGTTCTATGCGCGAACAATGGGTTAGTGCGATTAGAAACAGATTTTTTTTGGTTCCGTCGTTATATTAATATCGGTGGTCTTATAGAATTTGATATAGTTTGTTACAGGCACTTAGTTACGATATAAGATATATTAGTACAACAGACATGTGGAGAATTAGATGATTTAGTGCGTGAAATAAGGAACAAGGTCGCCAATATGATTTATGATCCTCGGTTCGGCTAGGAACTTCAATTTCAAGTCGTATAAATGCCTTAATTCGTTTTATTCTTTCGGTAATTTATGTTTGACGGTTATTAGCTAACGCAGATGAATGATGAAGCTAATTAAAGACTTACATTAATTTAAATAGAGTTACGAGATATCAAATTTATTACAAAAATGGTCATTAAAAAACAACGGAATAAAATACAGGGTGGCGCCTCTCATACGCCGCGGAGGCTCCAAGGAGAACGACAGTTTGTATTGAAATGAAATTTTGTGAGCATATGTAGGTTAATTCAGGGCATTTTTTTAAAATATAGAGAGTTCTACACGGTGTCCCCAAAAAAAGTTACATATCAAAGTTGGGTTTTTTTGTAATGGAACACCCTATATATTAATTGATTTTCGGATCTGGGAGAAAAATAAAGGTGAGTTTTATAAGAAAAGTATATGACTAAAATGTAAGGTTTTTGACATATTTAACATCTTCTAGAAATAAGGAACAATTTTTAAATTACAATAAAAGCTACCTAAATTGGAATTTACCCGGTATAGCCTAATATGTAGTTAAATTAAATATTGTACTTTACATTGAATTAAAACTTGATCCAAAAACTTATACAGGGTGAGACAAAATTAATATTGAACATTGGTCACTTTTAAAAGCATGTTACTCTTTTATTTAACTGGAACACCCAGTATATTATTTCGATATTCAATGGAGAATTCATGTCTCTTCAAAATACTATTAAGGTTGCCTGAAGAGATCCTTTTGAAAAGACAATCATTTTATGCAGTTAACAGGAAAGGAAGCATTTTGAGCATTTGATTTCGTCTAGCTAATTTTTGTACATAATTATAGGTTTATATCTAGTTTTAATTCTGTAATAATTAAAATATGTTTTAAACGTGTATCATTTTATTACCGTTAAGTATTTTACTCTACAATCTTTATTTTTTGTTAAATTGACAAAAGGTATATCACACAGCCACCCCAGATTTTTCAAATAATAAAGATCTATTGACGCAAAATCATAAAAATTAAAATGTCTAAGAAAATATTTGTCTGAGGGGTAGGCAATCTAAATAATATTTTGAAGGTATATAAATTCCCCATTGAACACCGGAAAAATATACGAGGTGTTATATTTAAAATAAGGGAGTAACTTGCTTTTAAAAGTGACTAATGTTCAATATTAATTTTGTCTCACCATGGATAACTTTTCGGCTCAAATTTCAATTTGGTCTAACATACAATGGTTACTGTAATTAAATATCACTGCATGTTCACAAAATGTGAAATAAGTCAAAATCCTTATATTTTATGTATATGCTTTTTTAATAAAACTCACCTTTATTTTTTTCCTAGAATCCGAAAATCAATGAATATATAGGGTGTTCCATTAGAAAAACACAACTGTAACTTTTTTTGGGGACACCCTGTATAATTCTATAAATTTTTATAAAATGCTTTCAGTCAACCTACATATGCTGCCAAAATTTCATTTCGATATAAACTACCGTTCTCCTTGGAGCTTCCGCGGCGTATGAGAGGCGCCACCCTGTATACTTTACCCTTATACTTTTGACGTTCGTAGTCTACCAGAAAGCCTTCGACGGCATCGAAACCTGGTCATTTCTAGCAGAATGACCAGGATGAGAGAGGATGTGGGAATCTATTCCAGATATTATTTCATTATTAAGAATGTCTATGATAGTACAACTTTCTACGTTAAATTAGATTACGATCTGAAAACAGAAAAAATACCACTGGTAAGAGCACAGGATACCATCTCTCCCAAGTTATTTATCCTGGCATTGGAAAATATCCTTTGCGAAACTATTGTAGTAAACCTTAGCTATCTTGGATTTGCAGACGATATAGTCTTGCTGAGCACCGACATTCAAGAATTGAACACCATGCCAAAGGAGCTAAATGACCAATCTCGGAAAATGGGACTTGAATAAGACTGCAACGTTATCAGGAAAAATTAGACCATTTTAAATATTTAGCTTTAAATATTTATCATTTTAAATATTTAGATTGGACCAAGGCCAACTTGACCGTGCACGACACGTGTCACTGTGACAGTTTTGATATAAGAAACGTCAAAATTTGGTTTGGTTGTGAAATTTGATGAGTAAGCTACGTGAGCGACGGTGCACACGCAAGCACGGCCCACACGCAAGCACGTGCCCACCCTGCAAAGTTGGATACGACGTTTTGTTTACATCTTGATCAAGGTGGGACTAAGGATTTGATGTTGAAGAAAAATGTGGGTTGATTTCGGCATAATTGTGGAAGGGCTACAGGATAACGCCTTCGACGTTTCGAATCTATGCCTCTAAATGGACGAAATCATCAGGATTTTTCTTAATTATGGGTTGATTGGAACAAAACTCGGCACGTGGATAGAGGTACCCGAATGGAGTCCTCACACGGACAACAACAACAACAACAACAAACAACGCTTTATTGTACAAAAAGCCAAAACAGCTTCATCGACACAGTAATCACAAAACAAACAAAAGCACAAAAAAATATAGACAAACAACAAAAAATACACAATACAAATCATACAATTCAAAAAAATTTAAGTCATTGTAATTACAAAAAGTACATACATAGACAGCAGCAGAATTGCAGAATAGTAAGCAGTAAATAGATATAATTTTAAGAGTTATAAAATTTTAAATTTTTTAAATACTTGACCTTTGACCAGTGTGTGAGATGATCAAAATTTTAAACCTCTAAATTGTTCATGATTAAACATCCACAAAAAGGTCGTTTACCGCATATAGGGCTCTCTCCAGTAAGTATGATTTCAGAGCTTTGCGAAATGCGGGAAAGAATGAAAGCGACTTGATATTCAAAGGCAGATGATTGTACTTTTTTTAGCATTGTACAGTATTGAACCTTTAACTAGTTCTGAGCTCGGGATTGGCAGGTAAAAATCGTGCTCCGCATTCCTAAGTGGATAGTTTTGAGATGGCCTTTCGGGAATAACAGATATGTGCTTGCGGATTAAGCAAACGGATTCAAAAATGAATAAAGAAGAAAGAGTCAGTATTTTGAAATTTTTAAAGAAATTCTGGCAGTGAGTTCTACTGTTCAGTCCCAATAAATATCGAACTGCTCTTTTTTGAAGTCTGAAAATACGATCAAATTTTGTTGGACAGACGGACCAAGGGACAGACGGGCAGACGGACAGACAGATAGACGGAAGTAAGAAGAAGTTTCTTTTCAGATATGTGCACATAGTGCACACACATTTTTTTTTTAATTGTTATTTTGGCTCTTAAAACAAAATATTGCGGTTTTGTGATTCATAATCAAGGTTTGTAATATCATAATCATCTTAAATTTTTAAAAATCAGATAAGCGTCAAGGCATATTATAATGTTATTTTTCTACGTATACATTGCGAAATAAAAAGGTGGCAGGGGAGGTCATTATACGCAAAGACATTAAAATTATATACTTCTGCTTCTTTAGTTTGATCTTATGCGAAACCCAACAAATAGCTTCTATTAGATTCCTTTTAGAAGAAAGAAGATAATAAAAGTTGAACTAATCTGTTTTTGCATATTTTTCAAGGATTATAGTATGCAAATGGCTCTCTGGGTCATAAAATATTCTTTTTTCGTTTTCATTTCAGCCGTTCAAGGTGGATTATTGAATTCCAAATAGTTTAAATCTGTTTGCATTTATATTTACGATCTTACGGCAAACGTTTTACAAAACGAATGATACATTCTTAGTTCGTATACTATTTGAAATAAAGAAACCACATAATAACTATTGTACTTTAATAAGTCTGTTATAACTGTTTAAGTATACATTTAATTAACCATTAGGGACAACATAAAGAGAGAGAATTGAGCTTCCGGTTTTCTATAGTGCTTTAACCACTTTTCTATACTTATCATGGTCAAATATATTTGATAGCAGTTAAACTTTTAGTTACGTAATTGAGGGCGCGATTTTTAAATTCATTGTTGCCAACCATGGAGATATTCGCTGCCAGGCTGACTAACTGGAATTTAAATTTCGCGCTGGGGATTCAGGTGGTAGCTCTGCTGTAAAAAATGTCCGCATTTATTTATTTATCTCCTGACATTCTCATTCGTTTTGACATTTTAGTTTTGTATTACGAGTTTTTGGTTTAAATAAATAGTGTTTTGAGACTTTAAGCTTAAAAATGTTTAGCTAACTAGCAGACCTTGATTAGGTGACCTTGCAGTCTAACATTGTTCTTTTTAGAATCTTTTTTAGTGCGTGTGCGTGTGCGTTTAGTGAAGTGTACAAGACAGCTTATATAATAGCCATAAAAAACTCATCACAACTTTATTAAAATATTAATATAATATAATGGCCCTTTATGTCCCTGAAGTGCTGTTAAGAAGGTGATTTTTGTTGATGTAAATAATATCCGTTTAACTAAAACTAAACGTTCTCTAACCCAGTGTGAGTACATATTATCAAACTAAAACCTCTGAAGGCAGGTAAGGGGACAAATAACTCACAATCTTTAAGATGTTTATTTAAATTTAAATGCTTCAAAAAAGCAGGGGGCGACATGTTTCGGGACTTTTCCCATCATCAGGCCCAGAAAGACAAA